ATGAAATTCTTCTGTGTCTTCCAATTCCTTTCGATACAGTGACTCAGTATATTCCTTCCATCTTCTTTTAATACTTCCTGGATCATTTAACATTCTGCAGAAACAAAAGAATAATAAAATCTGTCTTAAAAGAAGTGCAAACAGGGTGAACCTTTAGAGGCAAGGGAGTTTCATCTTTGTTTCCCATACTTCAAGCATGTTGTCAGGCTGTAAGAGTCACTAGAAAAAGATATGTTGGGAAAGGTAGAGGGTCAGTGAAGGAAAAGAAACCTTGAACAAGATGGATTGGCACAGTGACTATAACAATGGATTTGAACATATGGGAGATTGGCTCAGGCTAGGGCAAGGTTCAGATCTTTTGTTCCTTGTGTTTGCTTATTAGTTATAATGGACTGGACTGCATGGTACCTAATATTAAACTAGGGTGCAAAAGCCACAAGGCGTCACTACAACCCAGCTGAAATCAAGATAGAATAGGTTCTCTAATGGCCAAATTTTTGGCTGTCTCGCCATGCAGATCCACCATATTACATTAGTTTTTTAAAACCCTACATAGGGTAGCATGAAAGGATTTACGGTCTTGTTCATACTATAGACTAGAATAGAAATCATGGAAATGAAGGGTAAAAAAGGATTTTACGCGGTGTTTTGCAAGTTCCTTCTTTCACCTAATAGGACCTCTACGGGTACTTCCTAGTCTACACATAACACTATAAAGTAGTTCTGCACAGCAGACAGAAGAACCTACTGAAAATCTGAACACAATCATGCAATTGTCCTCGTTCAATAGTTTGAGAATGTTTTGAATAATACTAGATATAAATTAATGAACACAAAAGGGGGTTATATCTGCTGATTTCCACATGATAAAAACCTAAAATAACAGACCATAGTTACCACAAACCAACGTGAAATTTAATAAACAGAATAGAGGAGTGGTTCCCTTTACTGTATTTTACTGATGATGCTTTTTTAATATATGAATTGAGGGTTTGTGGCAACTCTGCATCTAGCAAGACTATTGGTGCTGTTCTCAACAAACTGGACTTATGTTACGTCCTTGTGCTGAATTTCACACTCTTCCATTGTGCTATTGCACACTATGTGTAAATACAACTTTTCATTTCATTTTTGTTGTAATTTGAAAGTTTGCAAAGCAAGTTTATTCTTCAACTATTCATATATTTTTTTGTTTCACAGTATTCATTACAATTCCCCACAGTAATTACATATCTCCCTTTTCTTCCATGTAATTCTGACTTCTATTGGTACTTCTGTACCTTTTTGTGTCTTCTCTCTCTTAGTGTGTGGTGCTGATAATCCCCATGTTGGATATTGCTTTTCCTTTATACATCTTAACATGTGCATATGGCTTCCTGTTATTGTTATGTCCCATCAAGTCTCCAGTGACCCTTGTTGTTGTTGTTATATGCCATCGAGTCGCTTGAGACTCGTAGCAACCCTATGTACAAGAGCCCTAAACGCCCATCTATCCTGTGCCAACCTTGCCGTCTCAAACACACTCATGCCCACTCCACTCACAGAATCTATCCATCTTATCAAGGGCCTTACTCTCCTGCGCCGTCCCTCCACTCTCCCAAACATGATGTCCCTCTCCAAGGAGCAGTCCCTGCTTGCAACATGCCCAAACTATGTCAGAATTCTTGACAACATTCTGGCTTCACCTTCTCCAGGACAAACCTGTTTGTTCTCCCAGCAGTCCATGGTATATTCAACACTCTTCTCCAGCACCACAGCTCAAAGTCATCTATTCTCTTTCTATCATCCCTATTCACTGTTCAACTCTCCAATGCATAGCACGTAATTGCAAAGACTATATCCTGGATCAGGCGCACCTTAATCTCCAGCCTAATGTCGTTGCACTTCAGTACTTTTGAGAGGTCCCTTACAGCTGACTTTTCCAATGCAATTCGTCTTCTGATTTCCTGGCTGCTGTTACCAAG